CTCTCTGGTGTGGAGGATGATGGCTGAAACATAAATATGGAGAGGCCTGGCAGATCGATTGTATCACACTCCCACAAACTCTCCAAGGCAAGCGCCGTGTGCTTACAATGGCGGAAGCAACCACCGGATGGCTGGAAACATATCCCGTGCCCCATGCCACCGCCCGGAACACTATCCTGGGTCTTGAAAAGCCAGTCCTGTGGTGACATGGCATCCCAGAGAGAACTGAGTGAGACAATAGGACTCATTTCCAAAACAACCTCATAGACACCTGGGCCAAAGAGCATGGTACTGAGTGGGTATATCACATCCCCTATCATGCACTCTGGGAAAATTGAACAATACGATGGACTGTTAAAGACTACACTGGGAGCAATGGGTGGTGGGACATTTGAACATTGGGATACACATTTAGCAAAGGCTACCTGGTTAGTCAACACTCGGGGATCTGCCAATCGAGCTGGCCCTGCCCAGTCAAAACTTTTACATACTGTAGAGGGTGATAAAGTCCCGGTAGTGCAAGTAAAAAATTATGCTAGGGAAGACGGTCTGGGTTATTCCTGCCTTGGGCAAAGGAAAACCCATTCGTGGGATTGCTTTTGCGCACGGACCTGGGTGTACTTGGTGGGTGATGCAGAAGGATGGGGAAGTCCTATGTGTACCTCAAAGGGATTTGATTTTGGGTGAATGAAGTGAATGGCATGATGTTAATTGCTATGTAATACTGTATGCCATCACTTTTATGGTTGCTATATGCCGTATCAATGGTATTACAGTAAGAATCATCCAGATTAATGGAAAATGAACTTTGATGAAACCAAGCAAAGTGCAGCTGTAATGGAACCAGAACTGGCTTCAGCATGCAACAATCCAATACTGCACACCATCTCTCCTGCCCTGAAAGACTGTTATGACAGATGGAGCCCAAAGTCATGGACTAAATGAAGTCAACAGGCATTTTAGAGGGATGGCCCATAGACTAAGGGAACGATATCTGTGTTTATATATCAAAAGACAGGGAGAGTGGTGGTGATTAATTGGAATGTATTGGAAGGGGTAGGACCTGGGCATGTCATAGATGGTATAGAATAAGGGTTGGATGCTGTCCTGGTTTCAGCTGGGATAGAGTTAATTTTCTTCCTAGTAGCTGCTATAGTGCTGTGTTTGGGATTTAGTATGAGAAAAATGTTGATGACACACTGATGTTTTAGTTGTTGCTAAGTAGTGTTTACACTAGTCAAGGACTTTTCAGCTTCCCATGCTCTGCCAGGTGCACAAGAAGCTGGGAGGGGGCACAGCCAGGACAGCTGACCCAGACTGGCCAAAGTCGTGATCAGGTGCATCACTTGTTTTTCCTGGGTTTTGTTTCTCTCTCTCTTGTTGTTTTCCTTTTCATTATAATTTTTAATTATTATTACTATTATTATATTTTGTTTTATTTCAATTATTAAACTGTTCTTATTTCAACCCACAAGTTTTCTTACTTTTGCTCTTCAGATTCTGTCCCTCATCCCACCCAAGGGGGGAGAATGAGCGAGTGGCTCTGTGGTGCTTCATTGCCGACTGGGACTAAACCATGACAGTAGTGCTGTGTTTTGGATTTGTGATGAAATCAGTGTTGATAACATACCCCTGTTTTAGCTATTGCTGAGTGAGTGGTGCTTACGCCGAGTCAAGCCCTTCTCTGTTTCTCACCCCACCAGCGAGTAGGTTGTGGGTGCACAAGAAGTTGGGAGGGGACACAGCTGAGACAGCTGACCCCAACTGACTAAAGGGATATCCCATACCATATGACATCATGCTCAGCAATAAAACCTTGGGGGAAGATGGAGGAAGGGGACATTCAGAGTTATGGCGTTCGTCTTCCCAAGTAACCGTTAGGCGTGATGGAGCCCTGCTTTCCTGGAAGTGGCAGAAGATCTGCCTGCCAATGGGAAGTAGTGAGTGAATTCCTTGCTTTGCTTGTGCACACAGCTTTTGCTTTACCTGTTAAACTCTCTTTATCTCAACTCAAGAGTTTTCTCACTTTTACCCTTCTGATTGTCTCCCGCATCCCACTGGGGGGAAATGAGCAACGGACTGTGTGTGGCTCAGCTGCCTACCAAGGTTAAACCACAACACCCTCCAAACTTCTGCACAGCATGTGTGGGATGGCTGAGACTCCCCTAACCCAAGGTGTCCCCTATCTGCCCTCTCTGGTAGGTCATCTCCTCAGGATGACCTACTGGCTGCTGACAATTTTTGACCTGCTTCCCTCCCAATGCAGGACATCAGGGAACTGTGTATATTGCTCTGGAACTCCACAATCCACCATTCCACCACCCTCTCCCGGCTGCAGCTATTCAGGCAAACCTTCAGCAGTAGCTCTGTGGATCACTGCCTAGATCCAAAATCTCATTTCAGGTCTCTTGCTAGTCAGGTAAGTTAGAGAAGACATCTAACTGCTAGTTCCAGAAAACTGGCATTTGACGCAAGCATTTTTGGAGTCCCAGAATCATCCCAACTTTTCCATAGTGTGGGATTCACCTATGCTGAGTAATCCTCATCTCAACTATCTAAAATTTATATCTAAAATCATCGAAAAATCTATTCTAGTGACTGGAAGATCCTTCTTGGTAGTAAGAGAAAGAGCATCTGCAGGGACAATTCATCTTACCTAAAAATGGATAAGCTAGTGAGATAAAACACCCTGTGAAGATAAATGGTTTTCTACAGTGAGTATAAAGAGAGTTACCAATGACTAGAGCAGATGTAGTGCCTAACTTTTAGATGTCTAAATTTAGGTTAGGTGGCTATCAGCCTTCAGGAGTGTGGGTCTGGATTTTATGCTTTTAAGTAGATTAGCTTTGCACTAGGGTCTAGGTGCAGGTTGCAAAGGCATGTGCTCTATTTGAACTAGAGGCCGTCCTGCAAACAAGCTGGGATCATATTCATTCACAGACTCCTCCTGCAACAAGAAAAAAATGCCAGAAAGATGCCAGAACACATTGTGAAGAGAGACTGACCAGTTATGAACTCTGGTAGAGCTGAAGTTCTCTGAAAAAACAGTAGTGTTTCCAGATTTTCAGGGAGATAGATAGACAGTGGGTGATGGGAAAGAAACATCTCCATTGACTTCCTGAAAGGACCATGTTAGTATGTGCTGAACTTACTAAATATACGGAAAGATCACTTTCCTTCAATCTATAACACCACCAGAAGAAAGAAGGTATCACCTGGAAGCACTTCTGAAACTGCTATTTCAAAAGAGATCAAGATGTCCAAGTGATCACACAGTTCATTTCAGGAGGTAACACTGAACATGAGAAAATTAACTACATCAGGCCAGCCTCACTGGGGTTGAAGAAGAGAATTAACCATTCATTTATCAGAAAGATAGATTTTTTAAATCTTAACTTACTTTATTTCTGCGAGATAAAGTGTTAAAGCAGTCATATTGTCACTAACAAGGATTAGTGCCCATGTGGTGTATATTTTATTGTTCCTTTTAATGTCATTTTGGAGAGTGCAAACTTACAAGATGGCAATGAAACAGTAAAAGAGACAATCTCAGATCCTGATTTTGCTCTGCTGAAATGTAACATCGTTCAACTTTTATGCTCTACAGAGTAGAATGCTTCAGTGCTCTACAGGGCACAGAAAAGAAAGACAAGATACACATATGATGTGCACTTATCCCAGCAACATGAATGGAGGACGTCATTTACTGCTGAGCATAGCTCTTACTTCAGTACAGAGTCATCAGTTTCTCTCCATAGTCTCTTCTGAGGTACTAATCCTTTTCTGTCCATTCCCAGGACTGGTCCATAGTCCAACCAGATGTCACAGGATCAGGCCACAGGTATTATTTCCTTCAGTTTGGTGATATGTCAGTTCTAGAAAAGCCAGGTCATAGATTAAAAAAAATGACAGCCTGTGGGTCTTCTTCAGCTGATGACCATGTGCTAGTTCTTGACTTACTCGCCTGTCCTTCATGTCCCAATCTGGGTGTCCTGAGAAGCTGCACACAGATGTAACCTTGACAGCCTGCTCACCCAAGCGCCGTCACCCCAAGCCATTCCTATGGAGTCCTTCTTCTGCCTCTCCTCGTGGTGCTTCCACATTTACCCTGTCCCATGCACCCTCTGTTCAGGTCAACCATAGCATTTCTATAACAATCGTCTATGTATTTTCCTCACCAGCTGTCACAGCATTGCCATCGGACAAAATAATAGTATGTCCAAGCTAAAAAAAAAAGTTCTGTAAGATGCAAATTGGTGAATACTTTACATGGAAACATTCATTAGACAAGCATTATTTTCTGGCATTGTCAGGTTCACTATTGCTTTTCATTCCATACATCATATTTTTCCTTATCTTTGATCTCGTTAAACATGCTTTTGATCTCACTAAGCAGCAAAGCCTTTAAGTGACAAACTCATAAGTGACAAGCACTAGTTGAAATGGAAACGGAAGGAACAGCATGACTTTTCTCTGTTCCATCTTCCCTCCATGGAGTGTCCTGCTATGGATGTATATGGGCCCATTTTGACCTCTGTACACATACTGAAGGGGAGGGACAAAACTTAAAAGCTTTGGGTTATTGCTCAAAGATGTCTAGAAATTCAAAAGGAAAGGCTTTTCTGCTCTTCCTAGAGGACAATAAATAAACACAAATATTGTAATATAAACACACCTTGTTCAAGAAATTAATCTGTTGTATCAGAATAATTTCTTAATGATTAAGAGCAGGGATATAAACTGTTGTAAGTTTTTTTTTTTTAAAACTTAAGTCTTGCTCTCCTGTGCATTGCATATAAATAGCTATAATGAAAAAACCACATACAAATCCTGATCTGGAATGAAAGAAGATGTAAAGCGCAATAGCTGCTTATCTGCTTGAACCAGATGTGGTAAATGAGTAAAAAAATAGGCGTTTCCTTCATTTTTTAGCTCTTACGTCCAGGAGTTCAGCCTCCAGACAAAAATTCAAGGCTGTGAATCCAACCATTTAAAGCACATTACTCTAAAAACAAATGAGTCCTGGAAGAGTCCTGTTGAAAAACTTTTCCAAACAGAATCATCTTTAATGCCCTGCGAAACCACATGTAAAAAAATGCGTAAACAATTGGGTTAAATGTAGAATTTAAATAACCGAACCAAACCAAAGCATCAATGAGAACAGGAGGTATCACATAATTCATAAATGGATTTGTTGCTGTAAAGAAGAAGAATGGACTCCAGCAAATGAGAAACACTCCTATTATTATGCCTAAAGTCTTGGCAGCTTTCCTTTCTCTGCAGAATGAAATGTGGTGCTTCATTTCAAATTGCATCTTTTTTTGGATAATTGCATCAATGGATCTTGCCTGCCTCTTGGCTATAGAGTATATTTTCCTATAGATGTACAGCATAACAAATCCAGGGAGATAAAAAGACACCGTGGAGGCCACAACACCCGAAGTTTCACTAAAAATGACAAAGCATCCTCCAGCACAATGTACGTGATTATAAATCTCTTCTGCACCTCGCAAGTTTAGGTCTAGAAAGATCATCCCAAAAGCAAAAGCAGCAGGGACCATCCAACTTACAAATATCATGACGAGGATAACAAAAGTATTTATCTTTGATTTGTATCTTAGAGGGTCACACACAGCATAGTAACGGTCAATGGATATGAAGGAAAGATGGAAGATGGAAGCCGTGCTCAGCATAATGTCTGTGCTCGTATGAATCTTGCAGAAGAGCTCCCCAAAATACCAGCAGTGCTCGACAGAGCGCACCATGCTGCAAGGCATGATGAGGAATCCCAGCAAAAAGTCTACTGTAGCCATAGAAAGTATCAGGAAATTGGTAGGTGTATGGAGCTGCTTAAAATGTGATATTGAGATGATAACTGTCAAATTTCCAACCACTGTGGCCAGAATAATGCAAACCATGAAGATATACATGGAAACACGGATACTGTTTGACCAGCCGCTCCTTATGCAAGAGCCATTTACGGATTCACAGCACAGTTGCATCCTTACTGAGGTCTCAAATCCACGTAGGTATGCAGCACAGGTACTGTTTTTCCTAATGCTGAGATACATTTGCAACTGTTTTTTTCATTTCTATACGGGGAGAGCTGCGGGGAGGAAAAAAAAGGGCAATTGTAAACACCTTCATTTATTTGGACGTGTAGGAAATTCACATTTCATTATTTATGAAGGATGAAACTCTTTTGTAATTATGCTTTTAACAGAATGACACTTTTATCATTAGACTTCCCTTGAAATGGGAATCTCATTTGATGAAATAAACTGTATAAGGGGGTGTCCTCACACCAGAATAGCAGTGGCTCCCAGAGGCCTGCACTGAGCAATGTCTTGTATACTGGGCAGATGAGAAGTCCTTTTTGCTATTTGCTCTTTAAACCGTCCTAGTCGTCTTCATCAAAATTGGCTGGAGTCCTGTATCTCCCACATTGCTCTTGAAAATCAGTCACTTTAGATTCTGAAGCTCCCTCAACTTATTTTTTGATACATAAATCTAAGATCTACAAGTCTAAAACGGAAGGCTAAAGCCGAGGAGCCCACACTCAGCCTCTCCTCCAGCCCTGTCCTGACAGCGACAGCTGAACCTGCTGTGCAGCCCAGCAAAACCAAAGAATTTCCATGAGCCCTCCGTTTTTAGGCAGATGGCACTGCCTGACCAGATCAAGTCTTACTGAAAAATTCTTGCAGGCTCTAGCTGTAAATGGAGATGTAAGGAAAAGATGTAAGAGGAGAAAAAAAAAAAAAAAAAACACAACAACTTTTCTGACCTTTTGCTGCCAAAATATGATGGAAGAGCCTGACAAATCTGAAGCATTAGCTTCTGTATAAGCAAATACCTTCTCTGTCGGGCTCTAATTTATTTCAGTGCTAGTAGTTTAGCATTGTTCTATATATTTATCATGTTAATACTGTTTTAGCCAAGGCACAAACATGGAGAGAAACATTTTCTGAATATTGATTTAGTCTGCAGCTGAGGTTACAAATATTGGCTGTCCTCTCATGTATGCAGTCACACGTCCCTTTTGCGAGTGTCTTTACAGAAGTTTCATGAAAGTACTTAAGCACTTAGCAAGCAATATTCATTGTTGAAAGATCTGTTTTTCCTTTAATTGACAGAAAAATAGTATTATTGTGAAAAATAAAGAATATTAGCATATGCTATTCAGTAGCATTATTGTTATGGTATAATGTGGTTGTTTAAGTCAGAAAAATACTGACATAGCAATTCAGCCAGTACTAATTTAATCCGTTTGCTTCAGGACTTTGCTGCCTCTGGTTATTCTGGATAGGACACAACAGAATAATTATTTTTTTCCCATATTGAAACAAATGTTCTTAGAAGCACACCATGTCATTAGAAGCTAAATGGAAGCTGAAGACAGATGATAAACTGTAGCTTGCAAAACCTTGACAACTACAGGGTTATAACTAACAGCTTGTGTTTACAGAGGGATTTTCAAGTAGTGCCAGACAGTGGCACCTGAGTGCCAGGGAGAAGCTGCACCCAGAGGCACTCTCAGGAGTACAGGACACTACCTGAGTATAGAATCATAGAATCATTAAGGTGGGAAAAGACCCTTAAGATCATTGAGTCCAACTGTTAACCTAGCACTGCCAAGTCCACAACTAAACCATGTCCCTAAGCACCACATCTACCCATCTTTTAAATACCTCCAGGGATGGGGACTCCACCACTTCCCTGGGCAGCCTGTTCCAGTGCCTGACCCCTTTCGGTCCCCACCTTGCTACAACCTCCTTTCAGGTAGTTGTAGAGAGCGATAAGGTCTCCCCTCAGCCTCCTCTTCTCCAGACTAAACAACCCCAGAATATTTATTTATTTATTTTAGTATATTTATTTACTGTTTGGGGTGCCTCTTGCTTCCCCTTTTTTCTACCTAATACTTGACACTGTCTCTGCTCTTTTCCACCTCAGTTTAACTATCACTTCATATATTTCACTTTTGGTCAGTTTCTTCATGTTTCTTTTCCTGCCTGTCATTCCTTCTTTTGGTGTATTTACACCCAGATAGAGGAAGCACAGCGAGATGGATCTTTATTAACTCAAATCTTCAATTTTCACAGCAGAAAGAATTAAACACCAATTCAACTGTTCATACTGGACATATAATTATAAAAGTTTTAAGCTCATTCAGGTTATAAATGTGTCACATAGGTTTCAACCTTCATTTGTTTTATGTGTAAATAAATTAAAACAGGCTATGAATACAATAAAAAAAGAATTAAGATGCTCTCTCTAGTTTTCTGTTTAAAAGATGAACAACTTCAACTGTTCTCTGACAGAGAAACTATTTAGCCTAAAGAAATATGATCTCCCCTGGAAACTGTTTTTCTTTTAAAATAAATTTTGTTTTGAGGAGATTTTGGTTTTTTGTTAAACAGAAAGAAGAAACTCCAACTAAAATATTGACCAAACTGAGATCAAGTGGGTGGCTTTGCGTGAAATGGAAACAAAATAAGTCAAAACTCATGTGGCACACTCTCCAAATGAGCTAAACACTGAAGAAGTTTTCAACACAAAAGCAGAACACTTCTCTTCCATAATTAGTTACAAAATTTAAAATTCAGTAAAATGGAAATATGAAGAAGCATCCTTTTAAAAACCTATCCTCCTACCTTTCTCCTCTCATGCTGGGTAGAAGCCTGCTCTTGACGCTCATGTGTTTTCTGCTAATTGAGTGGCACCCCCTTCCTTTTAAAGACCGTCTCAAAAGACAGCTGAGGCTCTTCACCATCGTAACAGTTCTGGGTAATTTCGAGAGGACGGGTACTTAATCCACAGCAGCCTCCAGAAACCCCCGGCACATTGCTGGAGCGTGTTGGGTGCAATGAATAGTGTTGCTTGGCCCCGTGTCTCAGGAGCAACTGTTAATGTGAATAGTAGCTCAAACTGTTTATTTTGTCACCCACTTCAGAACAAAATCATGGCTGTAACAGTCATATTTGTTTAACGGGCCTTATTTATAGGTAAATTGAACTCATTTGAAGTATGTTTACTTGTTTGATTAAACAATGTGGTACGTTGGGAGCAGCCCAAGATTATCTAGGTGCAGAACAAAAACTGCCATGTAGCCTCCCTTCTGTAAGCTTCTGAAATATAGCAAAATACATAAGTATAGGTAGGTTACAGCAGCATGTAAGATGTCCTTGAAAAGGTATATTGTGTACAGAGTGACATGATGTGTATTTACCAGCCTAGTTCTGATTACTCTACTGAACAAACAAGTTTAATCTAACGGCTATTTGTAAGATACAGCTACTAAAAAGCTGTTTAAAGTAAACACCTATTATTGGCTGTACCGGAGTCACAGATGAGGAGCATCAATTTTTTGCTCCACAAAGGACCATGCAGCCTTTTAAAACAGTGATACTGCTGAATACAAAAGACTGTTAATATGGTGACCACCAGCGAAAGCCCAGTTATGCTGGGTGCCTCAGGGACGCATGCAACAAGGTAGATTAAGATACTATTTCTTGCAAAATATGCTGCATGACCTGGGTTAGCCGCTTCATTATATTATGTGCACAAAAATCAAAATGAGTGTAAACAACTCAGTTCTTTTATTTTTCTTGAGGCTGCACTCGTAGAGGGACTGGAGTGCTGCAAGGCAAGGCTCTTCTTGCTGTAGGAAGATAGTTTGCCAACTAAAAAAGTGCAGAAACAACTATCAGGCTGAGTGAGAAACCACTTGAGAGAGTCAAGAGGCTATGTCGAGGAGTCAGGTCCAATTGCTCAGAGTTGGGGAAATGTCAAAGAGACGTTAGGCACCCAAATACTGGTCTCTGAGAGAGGCCTTCACCCTTTTGAGATTCATAGCTGTGGGCCTTCCTTGGAGCCAGGCACTTGTCTTTGAGGAGTGAAGGTTTAGGCCTTGGTAATTACCATCTTGACATATACATTTTATAGGAAGGTAAAATTTAGGGGAACAAATCCATGTTGCCTTACTCTGTACAAAGCTCATAAAGTCTGGCAGCCAGCTCATTATAGGGACTTAGTCAAAGGACATCCATGCGTGCACACGCACTGCTCTCCTGCCGTGCTTCTCCTTCAGTGGCCAAATCTCAAGGCAATGATCTGGAAAGGCAGCTCTGTTTGAAGTGTTTGTTTCAGAAACATCTGCATGGCACCAACCAGCCGAACCCCTGGGGGACCCTCTGGAGTGCCAGTGCTACCAGAATCATGGCAGAGAGGCTGGGGAACCTTCCCCTGCCCTGAACAGCTCTGCTCCGCTGCAGGCGGGCAGGCAGCAGCCAGCTATGGAGCCTGGGTTTTTGCTCTGCCTCTCTTCATGACCAAATTTTGACTCCAGTCAAGGCGCGCTTCCCTTCAGTTTCTGACTTGCAATAAAATGCAAGAACAACTTGCCAATCTTCCTCTCACGTGTGACATTTCTCCAGGAGGCAACCTGCATCTTTTTAAGCCTGCTGAGGATTTTGGAAGGGTTAGGAGTCCTCAGGGAGATGAAATAAAATGAAAAGGAAGAGTCAAAACCCAATGATGCAAAACAATATGTTGTAGGGTTATTATGTTTATTGGATGGCTGTATGACAGTCGTATCTTGCCTGCCTGCACTGTGCCTGCACTGTGCCCTTGTCACTAGAACATGCTGGTGGAGGGGAAGTTCAAATAACAAATCTGAGAGCAGCCGGTTTGAGCACAGGTCCCTGGGGCAGGCCATGTTTGCTCCCTAGCTGCCTACCGGCAATACCTATATACTTTAAAATAATTAAATGTATTTAAAAAAAAAAAAAAAGGGAGAGAAAGGGACCAGATGACACTAAAGGTGAATTTTGTCCCCGATATCAGCGTGGCTGGGCTCTCACTTTGACTTCACCTCTAAAGAAGAAAAGACTCATCTGTGGGGCTCACCAGCCTTCCTGCTCCTACCAAAATCCTCTTTGTGGAAATGCCCTTCACTCTTCTACCAAATACCAACCCACAGGCATAGCACTTAGCCTTCGTTATCTCTGAATGCACCCGCTTGTACTGCAGGACCCATACACATCAGAAAGGAATGCACCACAGACCTAGAGGAAGCTGTGAGCCTGGGAACGATGGTATTTAATGGTATGCTTACTGAAATGAATGTAAAGTGGCAGTTTGTAAGATATCAAGATAATTAATTAATTAAGCAGGCCAAATTGTCAACTGATTTAGAGCAACAAGAAACACTTTGGTAACAAGCTTCCATGCTGTTGATGCAGATCCTTCAAACAGGCATTTTCTTGCAGGTTAATGCTGATGTGGATCATGAAAATATTCTCAAACTTGCTATTTATAATATCAAAGAGAAATATGTCAAGCTCTATTTTTGGGAGACCTCAGAGCAGTTATAAATAGTCAGTGTTCAACAGTCTTTTGAGTCTGTAATAGAGCAAAGCAGTTATACATCAAAATTCAAAGTAAAAATTTGTCTACAAAATTGTTGCTGTGTCTTTCTTTTCTGCAAAATTTCTCTTTCTGCAATAATTAGTTTTCAGATTTTTGGAAAACCAAGAAAAACAGGTGTTGCCACACTGTCTAGCATACTTTGGGTCATCTACACTTCTTGTTTGTTTGTTTTTAAAACATAAAATCATTAAAATGGAATACAGCACAGAAGGGAATGGAAATAGCACTTTTGCCACACACCAAAACCATTTGAACAATGTGTTAAAAAATTATTCTGCCCTTCTTAGGCAAGGCTGTGAAGGGACACTGGAAACGGGAAAGAACAGAACGGGGCTCGGGAATGAGAACAGTTCTAACTAACCATGAAAAAAAATAAAAGGCAGGACAGCATTGATTTCTACTGTGATTCTTTTAGCTTGCGTTTCTATGGGTACAGTTTGGCCATTTGGCAGAAAATATAATTTTACGGTATCCATTAGACAGAGGAAAGTTTCTCATTTTCATGTGGTTCATTTTAAAAACTGGCTTTCTGTGGGGGGAAACATAGATTTAAAGCTACTGGAGGCTCTAAGGTGGCCCCATGGTTGGAGAGGAATTTTGAAAGTATATAACTCCACTCACCATTTATGCAGTCCTCAGGAAAAAAAGCACAGCATTACAAAAAATTATCTTCTTAATTTTCCGTTCATATGTTTGAAATCTGGGGGAAAATGCACAAAGTCCCAACGAGCTATTAGTTCAAAATAAGTATTTCATTGTATGGGTCAAACAAGAAGATGTGCCAACTACTAATCTGAATGCTATTGCTGCAAACCTGGTGCAATTCCACTGAAGACAATCTGAAAGTAGCCCAGATTTATACCAGAGGAATTTAAAGAAGAGCGGATGAGGTGATTGACCTCTACATCTTTTCCCATGGTTTGTATTCTTACTTTTCAGTAGAAACCATCACTTTTCCTTGCCAAGGAAAAATAGCTGTTTATACAGAGCAATGTGATGTTCATGCTCTTTCTCAAAGTATAGTGCTTAGTATCAGGACTGTAAATCCAAACCCCAAGATAAATGCAGATCTCTGAAATGCACAGAGGACTAAGAGATTCCAGGAAAATAATGTTTTTACAGCAAAGCAAAACACATCCATCCAAAGCCAAGAAACTATCTCTGCATGTATCTACATATTTGATAGCCCTCCTAAGTAATGCCATAACGCAGTCCATTGCCTCTGCTCGGCAGCAAAAGCATTGCCAGGGCTCCCCGGAGGGCGGGAGCAGCCCCTCACCTCTCTCCCTGGCAGGGCAAGCAAGTCCCCCGAGCTGTAGTGCGGGTGCGGAGGCACCCATGCAGCCAGGCAGGTCCCCTGTGCCTTTCCCATGCTCCCGTGCACCCACCAATCCCACGGGAGCGAATTTAGGACTGTGGCTGGTTTGTAGATATTCGGTGGCCTCCGAACACCACCTCCAATATGAAGGCGAACGCGGAGGAGGGAGGCAGCCAGCAGTAAGCAGGTATGATCCCAGCTTTGTCATTCTGCATCCTCATGGCCCTGGAATAACTTCACAGAAAGTAAAGAGCCTTACTCTGAATTCACAACTGTGCCTGAAAAGAGTTTTACCCCCTAGCTATGCTTCTCTTTCAGCTATTGGGAATGAATGCCTTTTTAAATCATCCTCTTGGCCACCACCAAAACCTCATTGCTGTTGGTGCCATTGCTGTT